TTTTCTGAAAGAGGGTTTCTCTGTGTAGCTCTGCTGTCCTGGAACTTGCTTTATAATCTAGGCTGGCCTCGAACTCCCACAGATCACCCTGCCTCTGCCTTCCAAGTGCTGGAATTAAAGATGCAGGCCTCCACTGCCTGGCTACTTTCCTTTTCCTAAATACTACAAGGATGTTCTGAACTAGAAAACCAATAATTATGAGATACTGACTTTCTATTACCAGAAACAAATCCTTTTCATGCTAGAGATATTTTATCCAGAAAGTTATATATAAAAGAACTTAAAAATAGATACCAAAACCAGGCAGTGGTGGCACACACCTTTAATCCCCTCTGTGAGTTTGAGGCCAGCCTGGTCTACAGCGAGTTCCAGGACAGGATTCAAGGCTATAGAGAAACCTATCTAGAAAAAACAAAACAAAACAAAACACCAAAAACAACCAAATGCTACTAAAAACAGTATGGTGACACACACACCTGTTTTACAGCATCCAGAATGCTTCTAAGGCAGAAAGATGCAGTTAGAAGACCAATAAGGATAAATAGGGAGAGAGTATTAAGCCAGTTAAGGCTATGTAAACAGTGTCCTGCAACCCCACATTTGGCAGAGGTGGAAGATAACTATATGAGAATTCAAGGACAGGACTAGCTTCACAGCAAATTCAAGGCCTGCCTGGGCCTCGACTTTGACAAGACCCCATCTTAAAAGACAATGAGATGACTCAGTGGATAAAGATGTTTGCCACCTAATCTAACTTGCATTCCATCCACAGGACCTACACAGTGGTAGAAAAGATCCCAGTAAGTTGGTGCACACAAATACGAATGAATGAATGAATGAATGAATGAATGAATGAAAGAAAGAAAAAGAAATTCATCCCAACTTCATTTAAGTTTTTTAAGTATAGGATTGTGAATAATTTTTAAAACTCATTTCTTCAAACTAAGCAAGATTCTGACACATACCAGAAACATAAGCATACATACATTGTACTCTTCCAACAAATTATCTGTAAGCTCCTGGGCAGGAGTTGGGTGGGGATTCACCATTAACTGGAAATAGTGGGGCTAGGGATATGTCAGACACAATCTAGTGAAACATCCCATGGACTCATCCACTGCAATAATAGCCTTTCTACTTTTTAGCTAAAAATAACAAAATTGTAAAAATATATCCAAAGTTACAAACATAAGGTTCATCAAAATTATATTTGTCAAATTTAAAATTCTTTAAAGAACACAAGACACTAAAGTGAGCTATGCTCTTATCACATAAAGTCCTATGAAAGAGGCAACACAAGAGAAAGATCTATATAAAGAGCGCTTGATACAAAACAACCATTATTTTCTCATCTTTGATGCTTATTAAGAAATTAAAAAAACTAAAAAGTATTCTTAACTAGATTTTTTTTGCAGTATACCATTCTTTTATTGCCAAACAGTCTAGGCATTAGTTAATTTAACACTCATTTGGTTAGAAAAATTAAAAACATTAACCAGGACATATATGTAGATGTTTTTTATACACACACACACAATAAGTACTTGTTTTAGAGCAGGGATGCTGCTTTTATTCCAATTATTCAATGACCTTTTTTGGGGGAAAAAAAGGTCAAAAACCTGAGTTTTTTAAAGATCTACAACAGAGAAATGTCTTTGTTATAGCTACAATGAGCATCAAATAGCCTTACAAATCATAAGGATGAAGAAAATACGATGAAAGGGCAAGCAAGCATTTCACAGCTTCTGCTCGCTCCCTTACTCCACCCAGTCCTCCTGGCTCAATGGCTGTTCACAGCATCCACAAATATTAACCCATTTTTAAAGAGGTGAGAGGATGTATCAAAACAGGGTGTGCTCCATCAAAACCAACATAGGAAGAAATATTCTGTGAAAAGCTGGTTCCCTTCTCTGACTTTTAAAATTATATATACCAGCTTTAAAATTTATTGTAGGGAATTCTTCCCTCTGAAACCAAACAATGATCTTTTAAATAGACTATGAAAAAATAAATTACCCTAAATACATATTCTGTTTGAATAAAACCGCAATTTGTAACTGCCAATTATTTTGCAGAAAACTATTTCTGGAAAAATATCCATTAGAAATAAAGCTAGTTAGAAACCTTAAAACCAAACCAATTTTTAAAGTTAAATCTTTTAATGTATATTCAACATATTATTACTGCTGTATACAACTAAAAGTATTCTTGATTAAAGGGATTGAATCCTGCAGCAATCAAGCTCTACTGAGCGGGGGAGGGGGGCAGAGGGGGGTACTAAGAAAACAGTGCCATGAAAAAACGAAGAGGGAAGACAATATTACCTGGTAAGCAGGCCCAAACAAGGTCTCTCCACGATCCCATCCCCAGAAAAGAAATTCACACAAAACAACCCACCTCCCCAATAAAAGAGAATTGCTAAAATGACCTTTCTGCTGTTTTGTCTCTTTTAAAGGTTGTGAATCTTAAGGAGTGTGTGCTTAAAACTAAAGGTCGGAAAAAACTAGTATCTTTATTTTCTCCCAACTGCCTCTTAAGAAAAGGGGGATGGGAGGACCCTTGGCATGACATCGGCCATTGAGAATGAGACCACAAATTCGGTAGGCTTCTTCAAGCCCAATTTCTTAACCGAAAGACTGATAGGAATTAGATTCAAATCCAACCTCAACGGAAAATTTCCTGCCCTCCTCCCAAGGAGTTTCTTGCTAAGTCACTGGGAAAAAAAAAAAGAAAAAGAAAAGGCAGAATAATAAATAAAGCCAGGCACCTTGCTTTCTCTCATCTCAAGGCAGTGTAAATCTCTCCTCCTCGCTGTTTGTGGAAGGAGTAAAAAGAAGCCCACCATCTCAAGAAACATTTTCTCACCTGAGAGGCCCGAGAGGGTAAATAAATAATCACAGCGTTTCCTAATGGAGTGGAGACACGGGATGAAGGGAATGGCAGAAGGCCTCGGAGCTGCTCAGTGTTAGCTACCTCAAAAGGCAACTCCCGTGCAAGAAGCCAGTGGCAAAAAGGAAAATCCTGCTCGATTTGGAGGGTGGAGGCTGCAGATCTTTACTGAGTGTAGAGGCTGAACCACCACCGCACTGGGGACCCAGGGGCTAGGCGGGCCATCCTCCTTAGGTCGACCCCCAAGCTAAGGACAGGTGGGGAACCGGACGCCTGGAAGTGGCTACCGGAGCCCCGACGGCGAGCCGCCAGACCGGGGAGGGGTGGGGACTGCGGGGCTCGCTTCCGCGGCCCGGGAGGGCTGGGCCCTTTCCCCAAGATCAGAGAGCGACCTGCTCCCCACGCCCTTCCCACCCAAGAATACTTTTCTTGCTAAGTCACGGCGGCAAGAGGGCGATGCAGCCCGAGAGGCCTCGGGTGAAGCCGCGGCGGCCCGGTTAGCCCGCAGCCCGGGCCCGAGGACCAGAGCCAGGGCAGCGCCCTCCGCGGCCAGGCCCCCCTCCTCGGTGCCTCTCACTCAACGGCCGTCGCGGCCGCCATTTTGAGAGCGAGGAGAGGAGAAGAAGAAGGAGGAGGCAGCGGCGGCAGGGGGAGGGGAGAATGGGAGGGAGGGGACCGGCGCAGCCACATCGTCAGGCCGCCGGCCCGGCCCGCAGCCGCCCGAGCGCGGTGGAGGAGATAGAGGGGAGGGCGCAAAGCGTCGCTGCCTTACCGGAGCGCTGCACCGCCGCCTCCGCAGGGCCTCTTCCGTCCTTCACTCCCATCCACCGGCGGGGAAGGGGGAGGGAGAGGGAAGGGAGGGAGGAGGGAGGGAGGGAGGGGGAGGATGGCGCGCTGGGCCCGGTCCCGGGGAGGGGGAGGGGAGGGCCACGGGCGGGCTCCTCAGCCGTTCCGGGGCTCGAGCCCTAGCCCGGCGCTCGCGCGTCTTCTCGCTCGCGCCCGAGCACTCCCCTCCGGCTCCTCCTCGCTCCCTGGACCCTCGGGTCGCTGCTCTTTCGCTCCCTCGCTCGCTATCTCGGCCGCCGGACTCCGCCGCCGCCCCGCCGCTCCAGCTCCGTCTGTCACAGGAGCTGCCCCAACGCCCTGACGTCACCGCGCTGCCGCCGCCCCAGACCCGCCAGGAAGAGGGAGGGGCGCGGAGGTGCTTGGGGCGCATGCGCGGGCTGGGCCGAGCCTGGGCCGCGCTCCCTTCCGCAGGGTGGGCTGGTCGCTGGTACCCGGGCCGGTGGCCGAGGTGCGCCTTGGGCGCGGGTTTTCTCGCGCGTCTGCCCGCTGTACCCTTGGGAAGAGCCTCTTTTGCCCTAGACTCTTGTCTGACTGTTGGGGCCCGTCATGAACTCTGGCTCTGCTTCGGCCCTCACCGCTCTGTCCTAGCGTTCCGCGGGTCCCTGGTGCACAAGCATCTCGGCCCTTGCTGACGCGTGCCAAGCCAGGCTGCTCCCTTTCTGCATATAGACTCTGTTGGATTATTCCCCATTTTCCCAGAAAGGACGGGAGTAGGTTGGTGGACTTGGGACGAAGAGCTCTTGAGGTTAAAAGACAGATGTACTGTCTTGTCTTCTTTTCTGTTACAGATTTTTTTTTTTTTTTTGGAAGGAATCGCCCGTAGATGTGATTCAGCTATTCTTTTCCTTAGTCATACGAACGCATCAGAGATTCTGGAAACTGACGTCCACAGAAAGACCTGGAACCTTATTCCTACAAGGCATGTCTGTGTTTTATTAAATTATAAATTGAAATATTGATAACAACTCTGGGGGATTTGTTGTCAATTTATTCCACAAAGAGACACTTCATTTTTGAAAGGGTAGGTTTGGGGCTCTGAATAATTCAATATAGAATATTATCTTTATAAGGAGTATTAAATGAGATTATTTCATTAGTCACTTGTGTTTTCTCCCAAAATACAGACTCAGGCTTAACTGATTTTATGACTTCCTTTTATGAAGGTAAATACTGTATATTGTGCTTGGGAAGATGCAGATTAACCCCTTGGTAGGAATCCTGGTGTCAACCGCTGGCTAGAAATGTGACCTTGACTAAATTACCGTTTCTCTTTTTGGCCTCAGTATCAGTATAAAATCAGCCTAGTGGCCAAACAGAGTGGCACATTGCCCAAGCTTCTTGGGAGTTAGGAGAATCGGAAGAGCTCAGAAGTTCTCAGCCAGCCTCGGAGACGTTGTTTAAAATAATGATAATAGTAATAAATGGCCTATGGTGGCTCACATTTGTAATCCTAACAATGAGGAGAGAGAGGCAGGAGGCCTGCCATAAATGTGAGGCCAGCCTCACCCTTATCATAAAAGAATTAATAAGCCCCACTTGGTGACACCCACTTTTACCCTCAGTACTCTAGAGGCAGAGGCAGGTGAGTCTCTTCCAGTTCAAGACCAGCCTGATCTATACAGTGAATTCCAAGCCAGACAAAGCTACATAGAGAAACCCTGTCTCATAAAATAAATGCCAAGCAAGTGGACCCTGGATGGTGGCACAGGCCTGTAATTTCAGCCAGGAATGAATGTGGAATGAGCATTAAAAGTTCAAGGGCTAGCTGGGCTACTCAAAAGTTTTTAAATTTATCATTTTTAAAAGACAGAAGACACTCAGTAATAGGTTACTTGCTGAGAGAGAAAGAGAAGAATACTTGAATAGGCTTACTTATACAAAGGCTTTTATGAGAATCAGATATGGCACGTGTTAATGCATCCTTCCACGGTGAGGTCTTAAAGGTAACTCAAGTAACCATTGTTTTCCTGTACCAAAGCCCATCTCTTTGTATTGGGATGGGTTGTCTTTATCTCTACAGGTGCTTGAAAAAAAAAATGAGCCAATGGTCTGAGATTGGGGTTTTCCCTTCATCAACACAAGAAACTAAATCAAATAATCGTTAGAAGATCTAGTCCGGGAAGTGGTGGTGTATGCCTTTAATCCCAGCACTCAGGAGGCAGAGGCAGGAGGATCTCTGTGAGTTCAAGGCCAACCTGGTCTACAAGTGCTAGTTCCAGGACAGGCTCCAAAACTACAGAGAAACCCTGTCTCAAAACAAACAAACAAACAAACAAAAAAGATCATGTCTAAGGTTTCAGTTTTAGGATTCTCTAGTCAGAAATATGGACAGAAGGAGGCATGGAGGCTTGCTGCTTTTACTTACATCCAAAACCAGCCAATAAGAATTCAATGAATTAGAGCATCCCTTATTCTAAGAATCTACCCAGCTTTCATTTTTATCTTTTAAAATATTTAATATTGTCTGATATTGTGCTTAATATTTAATCAGCTGAGTGAATCAGTTTTTTTTCTTTTTTTAAATAAATGCTCTAAAAGTCAGCAAAATAGCTTGGACACACATTTATAAAAAAACAACTTAAGGGGCTGGAGAGATGGCTCAGTGGTTAAAAGCACAGACTACTCTTCCATGTAGAAGGAGCTTCCCGCTGCCCTGCTCCCGCACAGCTAGCTTTACCCAAAATAATTACACGGAAACTGTATTCATTTAAACACTGCCTTGACCATTAGTTCCAGCCTCTTATTGGCTAATTCTCACATCTTGCTTTAACCCATTTCTATTAATCTGTGTAGCACTATGAGGTGGTGGCTTACCAGGAAAGATTCTAGCCTACATCCCTCTGTCTCCGGTTGAAGAATCATGGCGACTGCCTCATTGTCTTCTTCTCAGCATTCTGTTCTGTTTACTCTGCCTACCTAATTTTCTGTCCCATCAAAGGGCCAAGGCAGTTTTTATTAATCAATGAAAGTAACACATAGACAGATGACCCTCCTCCATCACTTCCAGAGGACCCAGGTTCAATTCCCAGCACCCACATGGCAGCTGATAACTGCCTGTAACTCCAGTTCCAGGGGATCTGACACATTCATGCCAATGTACATGAAAGAAACTTAAAATTATTTTAAAAAACCCACCAATTTACTACCAATAGGTAACCCAACTCCTATAGACCTTAAGAACACAAATTTTTACAATTAGAAAGATATAAAACTTGTACTGCATAATTATGTACTAAATTAAAACCAGACTTTATTTTTATAGCTATCCTTCAAAAAGCAATAAATCTTCTTTGGGGAAGATACAAAACTTTTCTCCCTGCTTTATAATTTTTCTGAACAGAAAACTGTTAGGTGCTCAACTTGACATGAAGCAATTGTGTTACAGTTCTGTGGGTTTTTCAGTTAGTTGCTAACACTGTATATCCATTTTAATAAACACTTGTCTACTGAAAATGGAGAATTAGGACATCTGTGCCATCAATCATAATTCATGAGGACTTATACAGAACCTGTGTCTACCAGGAAGCATTTACTAGTGGATATTTTGAGTAGTGTTTCTTGGGGAAAAAAATAACATGTGTTTTCCTTGGTATAATCTAACAAACTCTCCATTAATCTGAATTACAAATCTTTTTTTTTCCAGCAGACATTTTCAAAATGGAAACATTTGTTTCAATTGCTGCAGGAAAATTAGTGTTACTTTAAACAATTCTGCAAATAAGCTTACTGAAAGAAACACTCCAAAAATATTGCTACTGGGGAGAGAACAAAATGTCTTCTATATGACCGGAACAAAAGTCTGTTTACAAAGAGCAAGAATGTTAAAAATTTGTTCTGAGGCGCTAGGGAGAGATTGCTCAGTAGGTAAGGTGCTTACTGCTCAAACATGAGGACCTGAGTTTGATGCCCAGCACCCTGCTAAAAATCAGATGAGATGTCACCCTCCACACATATGTGCAAGCAAACTTCCACATGTGAACATAAACACACAAAAGAAAAGTCACTTATGTAAAACAACAAAACAAACCCTTTATTTTTTTTAAAGATTTATTTATTTATTTATTATGTATACAGTGTTCTGACTGTCTGTATGTTTGCTGGCCCAAAGAGGGCACCAGATCTCATTACAGCTGATTGTGAGCCACCATGTGGTTGCTGGGAATTGAACTCAGGACCTCAGGAAGAGCAGTCAGTGCTCTTAACCTCTGAGCCATCATCTCTCCAGCCCCAAACCCTTTACTTTAATTTATAAGAAATGTCCAATCTTGTGTGTGGAAATCCCAGAGAAAGAAATCAGCAAGTGAAAAGAAGCTTGGGGTGTGCAAGTTGTGTAAGTTAAAGTCCATCGAGAAGAGAACTCTAACCCAAGTGACAGGGACGGGCTCTAGGGGATTCTTTCTCGTTAACCTTGTGCTTGCAGTTCCACAAGATATGTCAACATGGGTGGACCCAACTAGACCAGTCGTTCTCAGCGTCATGACATCCTCATGTGTCATGAACATTGGGAGGACAGAAAAACAAACTGAAGGGAATTAAGAGTCAGACTCTCAGCTTAGTTACATGAGGCGTATGGAGAAGGAACATTTATAATCCAAAACCTTTAGAATAAATAGAAAAATGAATTTTGGGCAGAGGAGATGGGTCAGTAGGTAAAAGCATTTGATGGGACAACCTGACAACCCGAGTTCAATCCCCAGATCCATTGGTGAAAGGAGAAAACTGCTGAATTCTACAAGTTGTCCTATGACCTGCACACGCACTCTTGGCATACTAAGCCCACAATGACCTATGCATAAAATTAATTTAGAAAGAAAATCTAAAGTACTAATATAAACAATACAAAAGGCTGTATGGCGTTCATTAGGATGTCACTGCACAGGCCAAGCATAGTGCAAAATATCTTTTCTTTTTTTTTAATGCCTGTTAGCGTGTACCTAGTGGATAACGATTAACTCTTACTTGGAGAACTTAAAAATGTCTTTGTGAGGGCTGGAGAGATGGCTCAGTGGTTAAGAGCACTGTCTGCTCTTCCAGAGGTCCTGAGTTCAGTTCCCAGCAACCACATGGTGGCTCCAAACCATCTGTAGAGAGACCTGGCGCCCTCCTCTGGTGTGTGGAGGCAGAAAGTTGTATACATAATGAATAAATCTTTGAAAAAAAAAAATGTCTTTGTGACTTGAAAATTTTAGTACTCATTTTGGCAGCGCATATACTAAAATCGAAAACATAGAGAAAATTAACAATTAACAAGCTCCTAT